AATTGTGACAATAATACTTCCATTACATTTTTAGCAAATGTGTCAATTTTTATATTAATTGATACTAATTAATACTAATTATATTAACTTTTATTAAAGAAATATTTTTTTTAAAATTAAAACTGAAAAAAATGACAAAATAATTATTTTTATATCATATAAGGGCAGAAAGGACAATTATACAATAAAAAGTTATTTTACAGCTTATTAACCAAACACTACTCTGCTGCTCAAATTCATAATCCCACAGCTGCACCAAACAAGTTAACAGCTTATGTTCTCAGCTATAAGCCATAATCTGTTAAACTATAATGTATAATTACTTTTCCACAACTCTACCAAATGGGGCTATATAAACGTAACCTAATATTCTCATAGAAATCTGGTGGCCATCTAATCTTGGAAGCTAAGTAAGACTAGACTTTCACATCTCCTTTAGAATGTGCCTAAAATACAAATGTATCATAGTAGCCCACTTTTTTGCTCAATATTTAAATTGTAGCCATAAACTTGAGAAAACATAAAATATCACATGAAAAATTACAATGAAAACCAAAAATAATTAGGCTCCGTTTGGTAGAGCTTTGTAACTATAATTTGAGAATATGAGTTGTATTTTGAGTTTGTGTGTTTTAGAATTATGATTTGAGTATAGAAAATTTGTTTGGTTATGGTTTTTGAATAAAGTGTTGAATTGAGTGTGGAATTGAGTGTAGAATTGAGTTTTGAAAGTTTGATTTGACATGTGAAGTAAGAAAATTTGTTTGGTTATGAGTTTTGAAAAGTGTTTTCAAAACTTAATTCAAATTGTTATAACTCATAACAAAACACATTATTTTCACATTATTGAAAATTTTGATCAGCACTCATAACCAAACTCTTTTTAAAATTCAATTAAAAAAATTTATTATTAACAAAAAATAACATTAATCAATTTTTTAATTGAAAATACATTAATAATTTTAGTATTAATTGAGACTAATTAAGCCATTAATTGATACTAATTAATAATTTTAATATTAATTGATACTAATTAATTTATAGTGGAAAATAATTGTGACAATAATACTTCCATTACATTTTTAGCAAATGTATCAATTTTTATATTAATTGATGCTAATTAATACTAATTATATTAACTTTTATTAAAGAAATATTTTTTTTAAAATTAAAACTGAAAAAAATGACAAAATAATCATTTTTATATCATATAAGGGCAGAAAGGACAATTATACAATAAAAAGTTATTTTATAGCTTATTAACCAAACAGTACTCTGCTGCTCAAATTCATAATCTCACAGCTACACCAAACAGGTTAACAGCTTATGTTCTCAGGTACAAGCCATAATCTGTTAAGCTATAATGTATAATTACTTTTCCACAGCTCTACCAAATGGGTCCATATAAACCTAGCCTAATATTCTCATAGAAATCTGGTGGCCATCTAATCTTGGAAGCTAAGTAAGACTAGACTTTCACATCTCCTTTAGAATGTGCCTAAAATACAAATGTATCATAGCAGCCCACTTTTTTGCTCAATATTTAAATTATAGCCATAAACTTGAGAAAACATAAAATATCACATGAAAAATTACAATGAAAACCAAAAATAATTAATCTTTTGGGGCTAGTTCTACAATGAATCTTTGATATAAACTAATGAATTGACCCATGCAGAAGCCCAAATGAAAAGAGTTCATATAAGGTCTCATTTTGAATGACTTGCCAATCATGGGGTGGAGGCTTTAAATGCATCCCAATATTTTGGTTGGGCACCTCACAATATCCCCACCCACCCTAACCACTCACTGGCCACTTTTTGTTGCTTCCGTTGCTAGTGCCGGCGCCGCTTCCGCAGCAGCAGCCAACCCATCCCCACCCTTCTCACCTCTAGCCACCATTCCTCACCCCACCTCCTTACGCCGTAGCTACCTCTGTCACTGTTGCAAAACCCCAACCTAGGCTTTTGCCCTGTCGCAAACCCTCCTCCTCCTTTCATTTTTCTTCTTCTTCCTCTTCCCCTTCTCCATTCTTCTTCTTCTTTTTCTTCTTCTTAATTTTCAAATCTAGGATTTTGGAGGAAGAAGAAGAAAGAAGGAAGAGGAGGAAGGAGGTTCACGATGGGGAAGGGGGCCTAGGTTAGGGCCTCACAGCAGTGGAGGAGGAGAAGGTGATGGTGGGAGGAGAAGGAGATGGTGACGATGACAGGGAGGAGGTTGCGGCAGTGAAAGAGGAGGTGGTGGCAAGGGGAGTTGGGGCAGTGAGTGCCAGGGAGGTGGCGACGACGTGGAAAGGGCTGCGAAAGGCTTGCCAGAGCTAAGAAGACTGGCTGGAGATCTCACTACAGTTAGTTAGGGAGGGGATGCCGGAGCTAGGGTTAAAGATTTGGCTATTTTGGTAATTTAGTTGAGCGGTAAAATGGTATTTTAAAACAATTTTAAGTTGGGGTGTCCAACCTAATAAATGGGGTGCATTTAGTGCCACCCGCCAATCATGTGATTCCTACCATGCCAGCAACCATTTTCATTTTGAATCTCCAAACCATAATAACTTGAAATGCTCATGGAATCAAGCTAAATCCTAAGATTACAGACTCAAACTATGAATGAAATGGCCAACACAAAAATGATCAAGGGAGTAAGTGGAGAAGTGCGTCTAGGGTACTGTGCGATAAACGAATACCCACCAGACTAAAAGGTAAGTTCTATAGAACGGCTATTAGACCAACGATGTTGTATGGGGCGAAGTGTTGGGCAACCAAGAAACAAAATGTAGATAAGATGAGTGTGGCTGAGATGGGGATGCTAAGGTGGATGTGTGGCAAGACTAGACAAGATAGAGTTATGAATGAGTGTATTCGAGAATGAGTAGGAGTAGCACCGATAGAAGATAAGTTGAAAGAGAATCGATTGAGATGGTTTGGTCACATTCACCGGAGACCAACAGAGGTAATAGTGAAGAGATGCAATACTATAACGGTAGATGGGAGTGTTAGGGGCCGGGATAGGCCTAGATTAACGTTGGCTAGCGTTGTAAATAGAAATATGGATCTACTTAGTTTGACTAACAAAATGGCCTTTGATAGGGCCGCGTGAAGAAGAAGGATTCATGTAACCGACCCCATTTGATGGGACATAAGACTTGGTTTGGTTTGGTTTTGATAAATAAAATAAATAATGGGTAACATTGGGGAAAAATTGAAACAAATAAGTTTTAAAAAAAGAAGTAAAATTTTTTTTGAACCTTGAACTAACCAAGTAGGCTATGTCAACAAAAAAACTAATAGTCAGTTTAAACGTTTTCCAGTTCAGATAAAAAATTTCAGAGCGTTTAATTTTTAGTGAGCAGTCTTTTCAGGTAACAGATCAGATTCATCTTTGGCTAGCCTGTTCTCCTGGTTTTCCAAAAAAAACCACTATTTGTTTTGTCTACTTTACTCTACAAAATGTGCTTACTCTATTTGATTTACATACTTTTACTGAAAAATTTTGTTAGTGTCTTTGAAAATTGGGATCACCTTCATTTAATACTACTAGTGACCAGCAAGTGTTATTGAATGACAATACTTTTGTGCATGATTCAGAATTTGATAAACATTGAATGAAATAAAATAAGGAAAATTACAGTTTCAAGTTTAACAATAAAAGCAGAGAAATGGCTCAAGAACCCAGAATGCATGAGCGTCATAGTTAATTAACAAAGTATAGTTACAGCAGACATTGACACTAAAATATTACTTACTCCCTCCGTCCCAAAATATTAATCTCTGACTCAGTTGAAGAAGTATTTGGCAAGTGAGTTTGAAATAAAGACTTGGGGACCCTAAAGTATTTCCTGGATATTGAGGTTATCTGATCCAAGGATGAAATTTTTATCTGTCAATGGAAATATGTTCTTGACCTATTGAAGGAAACTGTGATGCTTGGCAGTAAAGCTTGTGACACACCGCTAGAACCCAGTTAGAAACTTAGTGATGATAGTGGGGGAGCTATTGTTGATAGGGGGAGATATCAAAGACTTGTGGATAAGCTCATTTATTTATCTCATTCTCATCCTGACGTCGATGTTGCTGTCAGCATAGTTAGCCAGTTCATATGCTCCTCATGAGGCACACTTGGATGTTGTTATGCGCATCCTTAGGTGCTTGAAATCTACCTTTGTTGGAGGCAATCTGGTTACTTGGTGGAGCAAGAAACATAATGTGATAGCAAGGTCTAGTGCAGAGACTGAGTTTAGAGCCAGGGCACAAGGTTTGTGTGAATTCTTGTGGATCAGGTTGCTATTGAGTGATTTGGGAATTGCTCAGTCTAACTCCATGAGATTATATTGTGATAATAAGGCTGTTGTCAGCATAGCTCACAATCCAGTTCAACATAACCGGACAAAGCACGTTGAGATTGATCATCACTTCATCAAAGAGAAACTCACTAATGGCACCATTTGTACTCCTTTTGTGAAGTCTAGTAAACAATTGGCAGATATTCTCACAAAGGGAGTCGGGAGTAAATCATTCCATGATGTTCTTGGCAAGTTGGGAATGAGAGATATTTTTTCACCAGCTTGAGGGGTAGTGTTAGCATTATTGTATTTCCTTATTTACTATTATTAGTTGTAGTGTAGCTGTATTTCCTTTCTTGCCTAAAAGACTTCTATTGTAAGTTACCTATCCTCTAATATAAAGGGGGTAATATCCTAATCACAACCCTAAGTTTGATTTTTCCCTAAAACAAACAAAATCATGTTAGATTGCCAATTGTCTCCAAAGCTTTGGTTGTTACAAAATGAACCCAACATTGTATATCGAACCATCCAACTCGTTGATAGCAAGGAGTCTTAAATGTGACAGGCCAACTTGTTAAACTTCTTAAATTATGGCAGTTCTATTTCTTGATTTTGAAATTTATTTTTATTTTTATTTTTTATTTTTTATTTATTTTTGTGATATATGAGGCCTGAACATGAATGTTAAGAACATTAAGGCTTAAAAAATTATCTGCAGGTAGAAGAAAAGGCAGTATTCCAGGGCAAAGATTGCTCAGCAATAGGATGGTAAGATGCTTTACAAATGTAGAAGCATTTACACTCCGAGCTGCTGATATTGAAGAAGTCACCAATCTTTTTTCAAGATTCTTGAGGAACCCACGTGTTCAAGGAGCCATAAGGTGAGTAATATCAAAACTGAAATTTGGGAAATGGTTATGATTTTTAAGTCCATGGTTGTGTGTTCATTGTGTCAAATATATGGCAAAGCGTGTTGAAATCTTAATTAACTTTTAAAAACTCAAGCTTCATAGCTAAAAGAAAAAATAGACATATGGATGCTTTGAAACAGGCCTCCAAGCATAAAAAACACATGATTTGTCTCTTTGCTCAATATGGATCCTAACCTTATGGGAAATGCCTAACCTTTGCATTCTTTTTCTTTCTTTTACTCGATTCCTTGTGCATTTATCAATCAGTGAGGACGAGAACAATGCAACATGTCCCAATGGAAAATCTGTTGGGATTTTTTTTCTCTAGAGGCTTGAATATATGTGATGGAAAAAATAAGAATTGTAAACAACATAATTTTATAAATTGATTTGATCAGAAAAATAAAATTCCCTACTGCTTAGTACTTGGTCTGCGTGAAATCTTTTATTGTTTTTTGTCTGGAGAACTTGAAATGAAAGTCATTCACTTTTTTCTTTTGGCATATCCATGTCATGAGCAATTTGCTGTCATAGCACATCTCAAGCTATGCCAGTGCCCTGCTCTCCTGAGTTATTTTTGCAGAATTTTCCATCCATTCATATGTCTTATTGTCAATCATTGTTGGAATAATTGTTCTTGTCGAAGACATTCCCTGCACAACCAATTTATTAATGATTTTGGCCTCTTCGAAATGAGGCAATGTGGTGATGTTGAAAAAGTTATTCACGATCTCCAATTTTGAACAGTCAACCCAACCATATTACTGCTCGAAATAGCCAGTCTATATGTATCCAAAATTAAACCACAAAAAAAAAAATTTAAAATGTGCATTATGAACATTCTTGGTACTTTTCTGTGATTTAAGTTTGCATATGTAGGTAGACTAAATCAAATTATATGCTTCATTGGGATTTATGCAAAGATAAGTATACAACTCATCTTTGTGGATAGGGACACTGAAGAACATGGAAGCTGACATTATGATTCCCGAAACCATTAATTTGATTCCTTTATTTGTGTTCTTCAACTTTATGCATAATCCCTACTTTAGATTATAGATTAATTTGACCTTCATTTCCGTGGAAAACAAGATAGACCCATTTTATTTCTGTTGATGTTCAAAATGTGCAGTAGATAAGTTTAACTTTTAACATTGTGAAATTGCTTCGGTTTGTAGCATGCATGCCATGTTAATATGTTTTGCAGTTATCTTGGGTATATTTGCAATAGAGAAGCTTTCCATGAGGTCTGACATCTTATTAGAAGCAATCAATGAATTTCTGTGAGATCTAATTGAGTACATCTTGAGTTTGTAGTTTGTTGTCATGTAATGTTCCCAACACTTCAATGAGAAGTGAGTCCGTTTGAATAGAGTGCAAAATAGGATGGAAAGTGAATAATAAAAAGTGAAGTGAAAGAAAGCAAAGTGAAATGAAATTTTATTTTCTAGCATGTATTTGGTGAAGATGATTTTTTATTTTTTTTATTTTTTTGGGGTGAGAGAGTCAAGTTACTATGGGTTGTACATAAATTTCAAGTTTCTGGCATTTTCCTCCATTTTCATGCTAAACAAAAGCAATATTTTTTCTCTTCTGACACTTCCTATCATTTTCATCCTAATCAAAGTCAGTCTTACTGTACTTCCTAATACGTGCTTCATCATTGCAGGTATGAATCGCCCTACTGGCGAGGCATTGCAGCAAGACGCATTCAAGTAGCATGGAGATATAGGAAGAAGCGTCTAAATCGTGCAGACACTGCCAATTCTGAACCACCCACCCAATCATTCATCTAGATAGTGTGTCTGATTTGTTGTATGTAATCTGAGTATGTAATCCTGGTAAAATATTCACTTGCATAGTTTGAACACCATTTAGACCAAAATTTCAAATGTCAATTTCTGTTGTAATTTTTTTTAACTCAATCACAATATTTGAAATGGTTGCCATGTTGAGACACTCGTGTGATTGTATGATTCTTTATTGTTGTCCCACATTGGAAAACTGACACAACTTGAATGGTTTATATATAGAAACTTACTTATTACACCTGACTAGAATTCAAAAAGCACATCATGTACCCCAAACTTTAAATGTGTACAGTGATGTTGAATTATGAGCATAAATTTTATGCAAATTCTAATGTTGTAGAGACAGATGTACGGGGAAGTTTGCCGGGTTGTTGAAAAGACAGAAAACCTTCATCCCTTGACAGAGAATGGAATCTTATAGATTACCATGATTTTGATTGTTGTGATAAATACGAAGTCTGGACTCTTTCAAAATCAAAAGATGAAGGTTTTAGCAAGTTTCGAATTTACAAAATTGAAGTTGAAAATCAATTGAGCAAGAAAATTAAAAGGTGGTTGTTTGGTTTATTTTTCAAATCACGATTTGGATGAAATATGTTAACCAAACATATTTTTAAAATATAATTCAAAATTACTTTCTCAAAATCAAAAGCTGAAGGTTTTAGTAAGTTTTGAATTTACAAAATTGAAACTGAAAATCAATTGAGCAAGAAAATTAAAGGTATTGTTTGATTTATTTTTCAAATCATGATTTGGATGAAATATGTTAACTAAAATATATTTTTAAAATCACTTTCAAAACTCCTCTTTTTTCATTTTTTTTTTATTAATCAATCAATTAATCACTTTTTCTCTCTCATCTCTCCTCTCTTCTCTCACATTCCCTCACATTTTGTACATCAATTAATCAAAAAAAAAAAAAATTACAAATCATTTTAAAAATATTTTTAAAACTCATAACCAAATAATTTTTTTTTTCCAAATCATGATTCAAAAATGCAAAACTCATAACATAATTTCACACTCAAAATAATATTCTAAAATTAAGCCAGACAGATCCAAACTTTTTCATATGTTACAAAGAGTTGGAAAAATTGTAATACAATATAAATGGTAAATTATATGACTATGAATGCATTGAGTGCCTTTGAGTTTGTGGAGTAAAGCTCTGTTTATTGCATATTGTTTACATAATTGAATTATTGAAGACCCAATCTTTGTCCATATGAATTGTCGAAGGGCAGAAAGCTCTCCAACTTTGGGGAATGGCATTTGGGTTAGCCAAAAAATATAGCTAACCTTTTATGTTCCCTACATAATAAAATATTATTAAAATTACAATATTTATCTCTCTCTTTTTTTTCATGTCATAATAAGAGTTGGAAAAATATTTTTGAACAATAAAAAGTAATTGTTCAAAAAATATGACATTTGAAAATGATATTTTTTTATATGAAAAAACATATATAAAAATATTTGTATAATATTTTTAGGAATCGCTATTCTCACTTCACTTTACTCTAAATACATTCTTTTTTGCTCCAAATACATTAATACTCTTGGAATTTTAATTTTTTTAGGAAGTGTATTTTGTGTAAAAAGGATATTAGTGTAAATGTATAATTAAGGACAAAGAAAGGAGTGTAATTGGAGTAAAGTGAAGTGGGAATAGCGATTCTCTATTTTTAAAGAAAATATATATTTTAAAAATATGATCGTATTTTAATTTACCGTTGTGATTAGATTTATTTTTATATTTAAGTTATAAAAGAATTGAGAAATAACTGGGAGTATTGTTAAAGTAGTTTTTGTGAAAAAAATGAGTTCCTAAAATATTGCATATACTTTTTAATTAAAATTTGAAGAAAAAATATGGAGCCTTGATGGAGTTGCTCTTTGAGAACCATTGAAAATTGCAAATTTAAAAATAATTAATTATTTTATCAAACGGACATCATGTAAGTAGTGCCATGATGCCATCCCATCCCAGACTAGAATATAGTGATGACCGACTACTACTCACAAACTACCGAAGGCCTAATTGAAGAAATATATAGTTCTCTTATAATATTTGGAATATAATTTGGTTAGGTAACAATAGCATTGAATTTCATTAACATGACTGTCATACAAATATTCATTTACACTTTATTTGTGTGGAGGTCAAAAAGAGGTTACACTTAAAATGACAAATAGAGCATCTAAGCCCATTAAGATGGGACGAATAAAGTCAAAACTCACTGGACTGAAAGTCATTGTCGAATTGACATGAAAGGATCAAGGGGCGTCGAGTTAAGGGTACTTATGCTGAACGACAAAGCAGAGTATGTCAGGAAAATCGGCATGGTCCCATTAGGTGGGATCAGACTGTCCCTTTCAAAAAAGTATAGTATGAGCCCTGACAGAATGATGATGGAGTGTTAAACTGCATCGATAAAATATCAAAGAGAGTGAATCTATAAAAGGAGGAAGAAAGCTGAAGGAACAGGTATGTGCTAAAAAACCTTGGACCTTAAGAAACCAAAAAAACACCAATTTTTTTACAAATACTAACTTGCCCGTGAGAGTGCTAATTCCAGTACCACCAACCGGAGTTTTATTTATGTTTTAGATGATAGCTGCGAAGATCCTACAAAGGCTTGTTTGAATTGAAGGAGTATTCCATAACCACTTTATCATAGTTTGAATGTTGAGGAGAGGTAAGAAAAGAAATGATTGTGGTTTTTCACTTAGATGAAAAAAGAAAAGAAATAATTATGATTTCTCATCATTATGTTTAGATGAATAAAATAGAAGAATATTGTTTCTCACTTATCTTATTTGAATAGAATAAATAAGAGAAAAGAAAAGAAAGTATTGTATTTTATCAACTTTCCATATTAACAAGTTATGTTTTTTCATAAGGGTAATTTTGGTATTTTAGAAAAAAATTATTAAATTTAATTCATTTCGAGTGATTAGCACCTCATGAATTATTTTGAAACCCCCATTTCTTTGGACCCCCACTTATAAATTTTGGAACCTTTAAAAAAATTTCCCTCCTCCAAATAATATTCATTATGAAAACATTACACTCATTGAATGCACAACCCCCACACCTCTATACCCCGAAAAAACTCCATCTAAAAAAAAAAAACCTTAACAAAGCCCATGAAGAAGAAGAATAAGAGGCAATGTGATTATTGTCTCTGCTACCTCATCCACCATTGTCACAGTTGGTATGCTCTCTCTATATATATACATAATTTCTTAGTTTTCTCATAATAATTTCTTCTCTTACAAAAAAAGTTATAATAATTGGTTTAGTTTTCTCAGTAAAACATGTTTGAATTTATGAATAATGTTCGGTTACCTGTTTCTGAACAAATATTAATTGTTCAGTTACCTATTCTCGAACAAATAAACAATGTTCGGGCCTGTGCTACCAAATTTCGGTTATATGTTCGGGAGTTCAGTCACAAAAAAATGACAAACATATTTTATTATTTTTGCCATTTTTTCAAGAAACTTACCCTTATAAGGCGAATCTTCTTTGAGCTAAGAACAATATCAAAGCTATGAACCTCCTTTAAGCTTTTATTTTTGTGATCCTCTTGTCATATGGAATTATGGCTGCCAGAAAAACTTTCACTCATTGTCATTGCCAGAGAAGTGTAGGTAATCAAATTGTTGTCACTGTTACCACCGGATATTGCTGCCAAAGGGTTTTTAAGGTTTTGAGGGTGGGTAGGTTTTGAAAATGAGATTTGGGATGGATGGGTGGTGATGGAAGTTGGTGCTATCATAAACCTTAATTTATGATGTAGTGGGCGTGTAGGTTTTTTTTTTTTTTGGTGAATGTGTGTAGGTTTAATTGCGAGATGGGTGTCCCAAAATTAATGATATCTGTTGTAGTAATTTTATTTGAGGTTGTTATTGTAATAAAAAAAAAGGTAAATTACAAACACACCCTCTGAAGTTTACCTAGATTATAAATTACCTCTGTGGTTCTAAAAATTACAGTATGCCCCCTAATGTTTGTAATTTCATAACAAATAGGTCATTTTATTAATAAATCATCTAGTTAATTAACAATTTTTAATAATATTAAAATTTTATTTCAATTAATAATTCAGATAATTTTATTATTGTATAGGTGAACAGTTAAAATTTTCACTTTTTCAATTAATTCTATTAAAAAAAAAATCTGACAGCTAGGTATTTGTAATTTTTCAAACCACATGGGACAATTTATATTTTAAGCAAACTTCAAGAAGGTGTATTTGTAATTTACCTTAACAAAAACTAAAAATTGAGGGATCCAAAATAATTTATAGGATGCTAATAGCAGCACTCTTCATTTCTCATCAAATCTCGCCACTTTTGGTGAGAAATGAAATATAAGTTTGGTGAAAATCATTTTCTCATCATCCCTCATCATTTCTCATATACTTAATCATCCAAACAAGTGAAGGGGTTTTCTATTCTCACAATTTCTTTTCTTTTCTCACCAAATCCCTCCATCCAAACAAAGGATTAGAGCAAATGCACAAGTAAATGAAATAAAACGTTCATTGACTTCTTATTGTATTTTCCCAGACACAAACACAAACAAAGTACAAGGTTTTATAAATAAAAGAATAACTCGATCATTCCAAAGCTGAATGTGTACAAAACTCTCAAACATTTCCATTAAATAACTTGGCATACAAGCCTCCATGCCTATTTGAATCTGCACATAATTTTAAATATAAAATCATCGTGCCTTATCAACATCACCTACATATATAGTATCGTTACATCCACACAATTTTCTCCACTTGAATACACATAATTGGGACTTTTATCGATAAAAGTCTCTAAAATACGATGAATCATTAATCCTACATATATAAGAATAAAGGGTAATGAACAGTGATACATCAAAACTATTTATAGTTAAGGATATCTCCTTTTTCTCAAATAACTATAAAAAACCAATAGCTTAATAAAGCCTATCCAGCAGAGAGTGTGCATCATATCAATATATAATCGGATCGGCTCCAATTATGTCAAAACTCCAATTATCATCGTATCAAAACTATTAGTATATTTAATATCTCATAATAGTCCTTGGGACTAAAACGATAAATACCATCTTTATACATTGAATATAATAAACATATGATATCTTTGAGTAATAGATATTTCAAATTTGAAAAACAAACTAAAATATATTACTACCATAAAAATAAAAAATAAAAAACTAAAATTCATTACTACTC